TATTACTCATCAGGAGCTCAAAAAAAGGAATTATCGGAAAAAAGATGCGGATTATAGTTAGCAAAAATAAACCACGAAGAGATTTCCTATGGTACCATCAAGACACCTGAAGTTTCATCAAGGTATTTGTTATTTAAATTGTTTCATAGCTTATTTAATGAGAGAAGCACATTTACTGAACAAAAATTTAATTAATTTATCCAGGAAAACCCGCAGTAGTTTACGATTCAACAAACCCACATTGGGCTCCTATGATCAACATGGCGCACGAGTCGAAGAGTCTGTGAGCCGAAAGAATCGGACATGAAAAGATCCTCGCGAACATTAGAAAGATCCACTCGCAAAAAGCGATTAATTCTAGAAGACAGAGTTGTGGATAAACAAGACAATAAAGAAAACATGGGTCCTACGACGAGTGACATGTTTATATGTGTGTTGGAAGATACAGTTTCTACTGTCACTCACACTGCAAATGTTTTCTTTTTAAATTTTAGTTCAGTAAATGTGCTTCTCTCATTAAATAAACTATGAAACAATTTAAATAGAAAATACCTTGATGAAAGTGACATGAGTGTGTCTTGATGGTACCACAGGAAATCTCTTCGCGGTTTATGTTCTCTAGCCATAATTCTCGGTTTTTTTTTTCCGATAATTCCCTTGTTTTAGCTCCTGATGAGTCATTTCCAGAGGAACGGTGAAGAAACAAATTGTTTTATCCCTTTCAGAGCGTCTAGAACAACCAAATACACAACAAAACCTGCCCATGTTTCTCCGATGCTGCTGAAGTCAATGACAGTGTGCCCGGTGTCATGGCGGCGTAGTTACCGTTGCTGTAGGGGTCACGTGACGGTGCAAAGCCTCTATACAAGAAGAAATACAAAATGGATTCAAACTGTAAATTTGATGATGGATCCAAGAGTTCATGGTCCTGTTTAAGAGTTAGATTTTCAACAAAAATGTGAGAGTGCTCGAGTTAGGGTTATCTTATGATGATCATTTTATGAGTGTGGGACTTGTTGAAGCACAAATCAGCTCATCTGTTTTAGTTCCAAGCTCTTTTTAGTCCGATTCTGTTGAAATAAAGCTCAGATTAAAGTCTAACAAGCTTTTATTCAGTACCAAAACTAACATTTTTCTTCTTCTTTCCTTCCTTCATCTTTCTTCTTTCTCTTCCTCCTCTTCTTCTGCCTCTTCTTGCTTTCTTCTTTTTTATATAGTATTTATTCCAAAAATAATATTCATACATTACTATTTAACAAATACAATACAAATACAACGTTTGTAATACTTTTAAAATGCATTTGAAATTCTTTCTTCAACTTCTTCTTCCACTTCTTCGACTTCTTTTTCTTTCTTCTATTTTTTTCAAGTAACAGTACAAGTATTTATTCTTCCTTCTTGTTCTTTCTTCCTGTTCCTTCTCTTCTTCTTTTTCGTTTACCTTCTTCTTCCTTCTTTCCTTCTTCATCTTTCTCTACTTCTTCTGCCTCTTCTTCTTCTTCTTCTTCTTTTACCTTCTTATTCTTTTTCCTTTTTTCTTCTTCTTTTACCTTCTTATTCTTCCTTCTTTCTTCCTCTTCTTTTACCTTCTTCTTCCTCCTTTCTTCTTCTTTCCTTATTCCTCTTTTTCTACTTCTTCTGCCTCTTCCTCTTCTTTATCTTGTTCTTCTTCCTTCTTTCTTTTTTCTTCTTCCTCTTCTTTTACCTTCTTTTCTTCTTCTTTCTTTCTTCTTTCCTGCTTTTCTTCCTCTTCTTTCTTCTTTCCTGCTTTTCTTCCCCTTCTTTCTTCCTTCCTCTTTTTGTCTTCTTTCCTTCTTCCTCTACTTCTTCTGCCTCTTCTTCTTTTTTTTTTACCTTCTTTCTTTCTTCTTCTTTTCTTCTTTCTTCTTCCTCTTTCTCTGCCTCTTCCTCTGTCTCTTGTTCTTCCGTCTTACTACATTTGCTACTACGACTACTACGTCCCTCAGGTGCTTTAAACGTTAGTGATGCTGCTGATGGAGGGAGGGGGGGTGTACGCTGTTACCACGGAGACCCCCCCTACATTGCCGTTACCATAGCAACAGCCCCCCCCCCCCCCCCCCCTGCATCTACTCAGCATCTCTCTCTCTCCCCCAGGGCTCTGTGTCTGTGTGTGTGTGTGTGTTTGTGTGTGTGTGTGTGTGTTTGTTGTGTGTTTGTGTGTGTGTGTGTTTGTGCCCTAACAGAGGTGTCTTTCTGACGACTCTGGATTAACATTCGTGTCTGAGCTGCCCACGCTCTGCTTCAGATTTTTAAAGAACCACAGGACAGAAAATTCACTTCTAAAGGTCCGACATTACACCAAACTGACCCTTGTGAGAGTTAAGTCAAGTTATAATGTAGTTTCCTCGTCAAAAACAGAGCTGCAGTTGTGTTTTGTTTCATTCACATGAGTTTGAGCAGCGATGAATGAAGTGCTCAGTCTTGCTAAGTAAAAGTACAGATACAGGAGAAAAAAGTTACTCAAGTAAAAGTATCAGATGAAAATATCTATTTAAGTAAAGGTATTAAAGTATTTAGAAGTAGTGGTAGTAGTAGTAGTTGTAGTGGCCTTACTGGCTTGTCAAAGCCTGATCCCGTCAGATCTCAGAAGCTCAGCAGGGCTGGTCCTGGTTAGTACTTAGATGGGAGACACTGGGAATTCCAGGAGCCACAGTGCAGCACCAGCCTTAAAAACTGTTGTTGTGTCCTTAGGCAAGACACTTCACCCTCATTGCCTAATATGAAAGTGGTGTGTGTGTGAGATGGTGGTGGTCGGAGGGGCCGATGGCGCAGATTGGCAGCCTCGCTTCTGTCCATCTGCCCCAGGGCAGCTGTGTCTACAGTATCTTACCACCACCAGGTATGAAGTAAATGAATAATGCTCTGTAAAGCATCTTCGAGTGTCCAAAAAAGCACTATATAAAACTGATGCATTATTATTATTAGTAGTAGTAGTAGTAACTGTAGTAGTAACTGTAGTAGTTGTAGTTTTGCAGCACTACAAAAAAAATAAAAAATAAAAACATAGACCAGACTTGGGCATTGTTCAGCTCCGGGGCCACATACGGTCCTTTGGTTGACTCTGATCGGTTTAAGATAATCTGGAATTACAAATAATCTTATTGTATCATTTTACCTCATGCATGGACTGAAGCTGCACTGCTTTTTTTACAGGTGTTTGTTTTAACTCTTCCAGACCGATCATATACATGATGACGTCCAGTAGAGTGTCCAATAGGAACTTTGTTTTCCGGCAAACACACGCTCCATCCATTTTGATCGGTCCAAACTTTGCTAGAGTGTAGTGAGTCAAAATGGTCGACTGTGTTCGTAACAATTGAAAAATCTTCACTAAGTGCTCTTATTTCTTAAATAAATGGCAAAGTATGCATCTTGGTCTGCGTGGTCCTGTCACAAGATTTATTGTAATGGGGCGATTGCATTTTTTTAATTTATTTTTTTGGTTTGAAGGCAATAAAGATTTTATACAATTTCTATTTTATAAAATCAGAGAATGAGAACAAACATTTCAACTCTTTTTTTTTTCAACAAACTGTTGACCTTGGCTTGGAAGTCTGCTGCCAGTTTTTGGTACATTGTTGTTTGCGTTCTGATAAAGGCGATTGCGTGTATGAAGCAGTAACACCAAGTAGCTACTCCTGCAAAGTCATTTATATTTATCACTTTGGCAAATACCTGGACAACCATTTGTGAACTTGTTCTTTTAGCTGTGGCCATCTATCTTTTAGCCCGCAAGTGTCCTCTGCTTTTTGCCAGTCCCTCACAAGTTTCTCGCTCATTTCAAACTTTCTTTCTGCTACTCGATTACAGTTTTCGGCTGAATATTTCTCTACCTGCATTTTTTAATCTGCAGAATATGATTTTCTTTTGGGGGGCATTTGTGTTCAGAGCAGACACAAGCACGATACGTCTCCTTTAATATTCTGCAGTAAAACGTCAAACATACGGCCTGCATTCGTTTTATAATCTGATTCTGTCCATCAAATCTTCCATAAGGTTTCTTTATGATTATTTCCGGACGGGAGGTTAGTCCGACTGACTCTTTAATCCTGAGATTATAATCCGGACCAGCGCACTGTAGATTATCGAGGATTATTATTATTCATGAAAAAGTATGACGCGACCTTTATGGTTCCCGGGGTCATTTGGGTTCAAGGGTCATGACGCAAACTGATCATAACTACAGTAAAACCAGATCATATTGTTTAGCCTGTGTCCTGTTTCTGCTCGATGCCGATACTCGATGCTGATGCCCCTGAGTGCCCTTTTGGAACAGATTCATGCGTAAAATGGAATAAAAGAGTGTTATTTGACTGTTTTTAATATTTACAAATGTATAACTTTTACAGAATTTTGAAGAAGTTAATTAATTAGTGATCAACTTTAACTTAAGATACATTTATAGGCCTTGCTGTGGGCTAAATATCGGTATCGGCAATATTGGTTATCGACCCCACAGATATTGGATATAGGTATCGGCTCAAAAATATTCATATCAGTCCATTCCTACCCTACATAAGCAAACATAAAGGGATAAGGGGAACAAAATATCCTATTATTGTAATGTGTGCTGCAAAGGAATGTGCAAAAATATCAAAATATCAATATGTGGTGACACTAAGTTTGGTGGTGGAGTATCGTTGATGTATCGATGTATCGGCAAGAGTATTATTTGGTTCTTTTAGCAATTTTTCAATGACCGCAATACAGTTTTGTTGCTTATATTGTGGAAAGAAATGCTTCTTGGTGCTGTTGTGATGATTAAAACAGAGTATTTTATATGAACTTGAACAAGAAGTGGTTTATCGAAAACATATTGTTGCTAAAATATATCTGGTTCTTCAAAAACAGCAGCATATCACAGAGTATCATGAGCATAATATCGAGTATCACATGTGTCACCACGTTGTGATAATATCGTGAGCCGTGTATCGAGTATCATATCGAATCACTAAAGCGGTTTTGTGTGTTTTTTGCAGGGCGCTGTACACATATGAAGAGGAGACCAATGACCTGACACTAGCCGCTTCAGGAGGTGAGTGAAATAGAACAGTTATGTAAACTGTTTGGGTCCTGCTGAAATCAGATTAATTGTGATAAAAAGATGATTGAGGAATTAATCTGAATGGTATGAGAGCGTTGAAAATGACATAAATTGCCATCAGTGTTGGGAAGGTTACTGTTAAAATGTAATCCCCTACAGATTACAGATTACATACCCCAAGATGTAGTTTGTAATGTAATCCTTTAAATTAACTTAAAGTGAGTAATGTAATCTGAATACTTTGGATTACTTGATTTGCTGTAGAGAAGCAAAGACGAGGAAATCTTCACATAACTCTGCTAAAAGACAATTAAAAAAGCCCAGTCTTTATTTAACCGTATAAAAAATATTATTGATAGAAGAAGAGGAGACATGGTCCATGCAGCATGATTTAGTCCTGTTAAATGCTGTTTTAGACCTGGTTTAGACCTGGTTTAGTTCTGGTTTAGATCTGGTTTAGTCCTGTTTTAAACCTGGTTTAGTCCTGGTTTAGACCTGGTTTAGACCTGGTTTAGTCCTGGTTTAGTCCTGGTTTTAGACCTGGTTTTAGTCCTGGTTAGACCTGGTTTTAGACCTGGTTTAGTCCTTTTAGACCTGGTTTTAGTCCTGGTTTTAGTCCTGGTTCAGTCCTGGTTTAGTCCTGGTTTAGACCTGGTTTTAGTCCTGGTTTTAGACCTGGTTCAGACCTGGTTTAGTGTCCGGCAATGAGTGGAATTACCAAACAAAACAAAAACAAAGGGAATACCCCAAAATGTGAAAACAGGAAAATACCGCTGTGTAATCCATTTATTTCAACAAAGTAACTGTAATCCAATTACCACTCACTGAAACGGTAACTGTAACTGAATACAGTTACTCATAATTTGTACTCTGATTACATAACTCCAGTACATGTAATCTGTTACTCCCCAACACTGGTTGCCAGACAGACAACACATCCAAGTTTGTCTCGTTCTCAGTACATGAACAGGCCTCGTGTGAAAACTCAGAACCTCCAGAATTCCCCCCTGCAGAGGCTGCGCTGACACTGAGTCATGATACATGTGCCGGAGTTTAACTAGAGACCATTCACATCAGAGAGAGTCCTGATTTTCTAATATAACTATACCGTAGCAGAACAAGCCACTAGACTGTATTAAAAAGTGGACTAAGCGAGTGTGACGTCACCCACAGTGTTCAGCTCCACGCAAATGAAGCTCACGATGCTCATGGTTACAGGAGTGAAATTTGGAGCCAGTAGGGCAGCAAGAGAAAAAAAAAAAACAGGATCATGTAGAGCGGATCAATACGGACATTTTAAGATCAAAATGACGAGGCTCACAGCAGCAGTTACAGAGAGAGGAGTAACGATATTCCAGTGTAAGTCAATGGAAGCATGGAAGCCAGGGTCAGAAGGAGCCGGAAGAGCCGCATGTGAACTTCCTATTACTCCTGTCCATATATATATATATATATATATATATATATATATATATATATATATATATATATATATATATATATATATATATATATATATATATATATATATATATATATATATATATATGCAGTCTATGGATACAGTGCCATATATGGAAGATAATTTGTTCCATTAGATTTTGAATTTTAATTTTATTTTTATTTTAGTTGCTGAAATGTATACTTTCTCATCCATCCATTTTCTTCCGCTTATCTGGGGCCAGGTTGTGGGGCAGCAGTCTAAGCAGGGACTGCCAGATTTCCTTCACCCCAGACACTTCCTCCAGCTCTTCCAGGGGGACCCCAGGGCGTTCCCAGACCAGCCAAGACACAGGCACATAGGCACATAGACACATAGACACATAGACACATAGACACGTTCCATGTCCTCCTGGTGGGACATGCAACAAATTCAGTTTGTTGACTGAAAAAAAGTTTATTTGGTCAAATAGTCAGTGAATACGTGGGCTAGTTCAGAGTAGTTAGTTATCCTCCCTGCAGGCAGATATAAGGAAGTGTCCACCAGCATTTTGACCAGAACTGAAGAAGCAGCTTAGATGAGCTGCGAAACGTATTCGACCAAATAAACTTTGGTCCCGTCGACAAATTGAATTTCTTTGCCATGGATTCTACCTGGGCGACTGAGGGATTTTTCACATGTTTCAAATAAAAAAATAAAAATAAAAAAATCACCTTTTCAGTATTCAGCACACACGTTTTCATGTCTCAAATTCAAGCGTCAAAATTCAGAGTGTAAAATTTGCAAGTAACAAATTTCAGAGCAAAGATCCAAGATGCCAAGGCAGAAGCAATCAATCCTGTGAGCGAGGAGGACAGAGGCTGTTTCCTATTGGCCGTTCTCATTTGTGGGCGGGGCTTACACTTAACAAATAAAAGAGAGAGAATTCTGACCAATCAGATCACTTCACTGCACTAAGTAAGATCGGATCACTTTGGACCAATTGCTTCTGTCTTGACATCTTGGATTTTACACTAAAATTCAGAATAAAAGTTAAAAAATAGTTTTACAAAAATTCAAAGTGAGAAATTCAACAGCATTTAAAATTCAAAATCTGATTAAACAATCTTTCTATCTTTCATATCCAACCAAATTTGTGCAAATTTTTGCAACTTTCGTCCTTTTTATAAAGAATACGTGCTCACTGAGGCTCTAGAGACTTCATTAAAAATCAAATGACTCGTCTAGTTTCCACTTTACAGTCCCGGTCTGAGTCCATGTGTGGTCGGTGTGAGCGCTGAGAGAGACGGACCCTGATTAAAGCCCCGCTCGAGTGTTCTGAGTGAAGAGGGATGTGATTGGAGGAGGACATTTGAGAGGCACCGGCCAAAAGAAAAACAAAATCGTTAAAGTTTAGAGATGGACAGAAAACGGGTACAACTGTGTAATAACTACAACTTAACCCACCTCAATAAAACAAAATAGAACAAACTGGTTATTTACATGTAATAAATGATTCATGCTTAGTAATTACTTAAGAGGTTTGGAGTTAGAGAACTGATTATAGACCAAGTTTTCCAGTTTCTGAGTGCAGAGTGAGTGAATAATGCACAAAATTGTAAAGCGACTCTTGAGTGGACTAAATTGCAGCCACAGTGGTCCCATTTTTGGTCTAATTTTGAACCTAAAAAGCTGAGGAGACCAGGACTGAACCAGGACTGAACCAGGACTGAACTCTGTCTAAAACCAGGTCCAAACCAGGACTAAACCAGAATTGAACCACGACAAGCCCAGAGATGCTCCTCTCTCTCTCTCTTGTTCTCCAGTCCAAGTTTAGTCCTGGTTTAGTCTTGGTTCAGTTCTGGTTTAGACCTGGTTTAGACAAGGTTTAGTCCTGGTATAGTCCTCCTGGTTCACTCCTGGTTCAGTCCTGGTTTAGTCCTGGTTTATTCCTGGTTTAGGCCTGGTTTATTCCTGGTTTAGGCCTGGTTCAGTCCTCGTTTATTCCTCGTTTAGTCCTGGTTCAATCCTGGTTTAGTCCTGGTTTAGTCCTAGTTTAGACCTGGTTTAGACCTGGTTTAGTCCTAGTTTAGACCTGGTTTAGTCCTGGTTCACTCCTGGTTTAGACCTGGTTTAGTCCTGGTTCACTCCTGGTTTAGACCTGGTTTAGTCCTGGTTTAATCCTGGTTTAAACATGCTTTAGACATGGTTTTGACTTGGTTTAGTCCTGGTTTAGTCCTGGTTTAGTCCTGGTTTAGACCTGGTTTAGTCCTGGTTCACTCCTGGTTCACTCCTGGTTTAGACCGGGCTTAAACCTTGTTTAGACCTGGTTTAGACTTGGTTTAGACCTGGTTCAATCCTGGTTCAACCCTGGTTTAGACCTGGTTTAGACCTGGTTTAGTCCTGGTTCAGTCCTGGTTCAGTCCTGTTTTAATCCTTCTGGTTCACTCCTGGTTTAGACCTGGTTTAGTCCTGGTTCAGTCCTGGTTCAGTCCTGTTTTAATCCTTCTGGTTCACTCCTGGTTTAGACCTGGTTTAGACTGGTTTAGACCTGGTTCAATCCTGGTTCAACCTGGTTTAGACTTGGTTTAGACTGGTTTAGACCTGGTTTAGACCTGGTTTACTGTTTAGTCCTGGTTCAGTCCTGGTTCAGTCCTGGTTCAGTCTTGGTTCACATGTGTTGTCAGTGGGCGAGTTTATCACATCGATGACGTCACGAATCACCCCTCACTTTAAAAAATCCCCACTTCACCAATGAATAAATGTCCCTGTATTACATGAAAAACTCTGATATTTTTAGTTGTTCTGCCTGTGTCTGTATTCTTCTTTAAGTCTTCTGTACATGGATTATTAGACAGGACCAAAATAGAGCGGCGACAGGTGAAGTGAGTTACACAGATTGTAATTTCAGCCTGGCACCTGTCTGTGGGCGGGAGAACATTTTGTGCTGAAGTTGATGAGCTGGAATCAGAGGTATCAGAGGTTGGTTTAGATCAGCTCTTGTGATGTACAATGACGACTGATACTTTGCGACTGATTTCATCGACATTCCCGGGGATGTGACACTAACTGTAGGCACTGCTCAGTCTGATGCTTTGATAGAATTTAATACGAGTTTCATTTCAACACAATCTGATCAGAAAGTGCTCACTTAGCTGGAATTACAACACATGTTCATCAAGTTCCTCTCAAATCAAATTACAGTCTCGCGGTTTGGATGAAAATTAAATAAGAACGCTTGTATTGGTCACAGGTTTTCTGAAAATGTTCTGTTTTAATCCATTTTGTATTTTTCTTGAGTTTTCAGACAATCTAAAAACATTTTGTCTGTGTTTGTTAATGTGTGCTTTGTGTCTCCATGTAATCTGATGAATATTTCACCATAGGCATACATGTAAAATACCCCCAATGTTATAACAGTATAACAACAACAACCACAACGACAACCTCCACCACACCAACAACAATCACAACAACAATCAGACCACCAACAACCACCAACACCACAATAACAACAACAATCATAACAACAACCACCACCACAACAACCATCACAACAACAACAACCTACATCAACCACCTCCACAACACACACAACAACAACCACCACAGCGACCACCACCACCACAACAACAAACAAAACAACAGTCACAACAACAACCACAATAACAACAACCATCTCCACAACCAGAACCACAACAACAATAACAACAACAACAACTGCCACCACAACAACCACCACCACAACAACAACAACAAAAAACATCACTACAATAATGAGCACAACAACAACAACCATCTCCACAACCAGAACCAGAACTACCACAATCACCACAATAACCAGAATAACCACAACAACCACCACAATAATCAGAAATACCACCACCACAACAATAACCACAATAACAACAACCATCTCCACAACCAGAACCACAACAATAACAACAACAACAACAAAACATCACTACAATAGTGAGCACAACAACAACCATCTCCACAGCAACCACCACAACAAAAACAACCATCTCCACAACCAGAACAACCACAACCACCACAATAATCAGAAATACCACCACAACAACAAACACAACAACCATCACAACAACAACCACCACCACAACAACAACAAACACAACAATCACCAGAACCACAACAACAACCACCACCACAATAACCAGAATAACCACAACAACCACCACAATAATCTGAAATACCACCACCACAACAACAACCACAACATCAACAGCCACAACAACCACCACCACAACAACCACCATAACCACAACAACAACCACCACCACCACAACAACAAACACAACAATCACCAGAACCACAACAACCACCACCACCACAGCAACCATCACTACAAAAACAACCATCTCCACAACCAGAACCAGAACAACCACAACAACCAGAACTATCACAACAACCACAACAATCCACAACAACAACACACAACAATCACAACAACCACCATAACACACAACAACCATCACAATACAACAACAACAACACACACAACACCATCACACAACAACAACCACCACCACAACCACCATCACAACAGCCACCGTCACCACAACAACAACCACCACCATCACCACAACAGCAACAAACACAACAACAACCACAATAACAACAACCACCACCATAATCAGAAACACCACCAGTACATCAACAATTAACAACAACAACCGCCTCCACAATAACAATCACCACATCAACCACCACAATAACAACAACCATCTCCACAACCACCACAATAACAAGAACAACCGCAATAACCAGAACCACAACAACACAACCACCACCACAACAACCACACATTTTATTTATAAAGGGCTCAAAGACTCTGTACAAAGAATACAATTAAAAAGAATACATAATAGACAAAATATAGGTATGATTTAGCAGGCTAGACACTGAAAGCTGTTCTAAATAGGTTTTATGTTATTATATTAAGATAGTTAGTTATTATATTACTACTTTGTATAGTTTTGTCTGATGTGTGGCTGGTGTCTGTTTTTTCAGGAGGAGGTCTGGCAGAAATCACACTCACGTTTGACAACAGTTTGGTGATGTACGGATTCTGCAGCATCAAGGAGCCGACTGCAGCTCTGCCCCGATACATCCTCATCAACTGGGTCAGTGTCACAACGTAGACTGTGTAAAGAAGTGGGCTAAGGGATCATGGCGTCACCTATACTGTTCGGCTTCAGTCAATTGATGTTCAGTCCATTTAGGAATTTATTTACGGACAAAATAGCGAAATAAAAATACCATGATCGTGTCGAGTCAATACGGGTTAATACAAACATTTTAAGACCAAAATGATGAGACTCACAGCAGCAATTACAGAGAAAGGTCCGCGATTTTTCAATGTAAAGTAAATTGGAGCTAGAGTGGATGGACCTGGAAGTGCCCCCATTCTCACTTCTTATCCAAACTTTATCAGCTTTGCACCAAAAGCACCCAAACTTCTCCTAAGAGCAACTTTTTTGGTGTAATCCACAACAACTTTTTCATCTTTACTGCAGTTTATTTAATGTTTTTTAGTTGTAATTGTAGAAAAATACAATAACTGGATTAAAGAGTTGTCCGTTGAGAATAAATATTGTTGATTTCATGTGTATTTGGACGTAAAATGGGCCATAGAGATGTTTTCAGTCACTCTTATCTTCTGTGTATAGACGAAAAACAGGGCAATTTACATATATGAGTAGGACTAGACTCACCTGAGAATCTCTAAGTAAAAATCTTGGTGAATTTTTAGAAACACTTTTACATGGATGATTCGCACACACAGATAATGTTCGTAATTATGATTATTTACCAGGGGTGCCTAGGTAAAACTAAACCCACGCGAATACCGTAGGGCTTTAGTCCAAAGAGCTTTCTAACCTGTCATTGGCATGTTAACGTTATTTAATGTTATTTTGTGTTAATTTGTGTTTTCCAGGTGGGAGATGACGTCCCGGATGCTCGGAAATGCGCCTGTGCGAGTCACGTGGCCATGATCGCAGACTTCTTCCAGGTCAAAAATGTGAAGAAAAACATTTACTTTGGCTTCAGCTGGCCTCGATGAAGCTCAAAAAATAAAACTAATTTCTAATGAACAAACAGTTAATACCATAACCCTAAACCCTTCAACTTTTCTACCTGCTTATCTCCGTGGAGATGTTATTGCTTTCCCTAGAATGTTCCATGGTATTATTTTAAACATATCTACCTAGTATTTATTCATTACAGATGTTTCTTTTGCTCAAAAATACAATGATTCCCTCTGTGAATATGGGCAACTCTCCACAGATCTGACCTGTAATGTAGCGTAGTGCCGTAACCAGCTTGTATCGATAGGATAGAAAGCAATAACATCTCCATGGCGACAAGTAGGTAATGGACTCTCAACCAGAAAAGTTGCACAGTGAACCTTTAGGAATTCATAAAACCTTTTTAGATTGCTGTGTTACCTTTTATTGTTTTGAAAATGCTGTATTCGCCAACAATAACATATTGAAATTTTAGTGCAACCTTCTTGCTCCCTACCGTAAATGACTCCCCCTTCAGAGCGCTATTAATGAAACTTCTGCACATCTGATCAGATTTGTGAAGTTGTAGCGTTATGTTTTGTATAATGTTTTTGTATTTTTATGGAGAATTGTTGTGTGGGAGCTTGTGGATGGAGTCTTGTACAAAATCTTACAGCTAATCCCGGGCCCTATTCAAAAAGCCCGGGAGAGATCGCTAGATTACTCAAACTCTCTATATTTAGTTACTAAGTCTATTAAACTATTAGTGAATTAAGCTTTGAGGCTAAATAAGGTGGTACACAACAAGGATTAAAATTCACTGAAATATCAAAGAGCTGCTTAAAGGTGCACTGCGTAACTGCTTGTTGCTATGGAGATGTCATTTCTCGGCCTGGAATGTTCCAAAGTATGGCATTAAACAGCTCTGCCTCACATTTATTCAGTTACAAGTGGCTTTATAGCTCAGAAATACTCAAAAATAGGGATTCTGACTGCGAGCGGGGTCGCCTCTCCGCAGACCTGACCCGTAACTTGGTCTGGTTTGGGTTCCGTGGCAACAGAAAGGCTTTAATGCCATACTGAGAAACATTCCAGACAAAGCAATAACATCTTTGTGGAGAAAGGCATTTGACGAACTCTGCACCAGAAAAGTTACACAATGCACATTTTAAAACCTTTTTTGTGTATTTTATTGGATTTTCTCTGCACAAAGAGGTATTTTTCCGTGTTGTGTGTGTTTGTGTGTGTGTGTGTGTGTGTGTGCGATACCTGTAGTAGTTAAAGTGTGGAGGCAGATCAGAGTCTGACTAATGCTCAAATTCAGCTGTGGTTTTTTGATCGTCTCCCACTCACTGTACTGCACTCACGTCCCAGTACACCACGTATTCACAGCCCTCCGTCACCATGGCAATTAAGCAACTCAGATCTAAATATTTGTATCTTTTGGAATGGACGAAAGCTCTTGTCATTGCCCCACTTTGTACCGTTAAAGCTAAACTGGTCTCATCGTAAATGCGTGTAGAGGTTTTGCGCTGACATCGTTTTATTTGAAAAATCCTCCTCGACATTCCGACTGAGACAGAACTACGGAAAGCAGAACAAATGTCACTGTTTTGATGAATAAAATGTTTCTGTTTCATATGAACTTTGCACAAGAAGTGGTTTAACAAAGACTTTTAGTATCACAGCTGTGATTTTGCGCTTATTTTTATTGGACCGTATTGAATCGATTTGAAATATATCGAATCAAATTGAAAGTTCACTGTATCGAGGTATTATCACATTGCTAAATTCTTAATGATACTCAGCCCTAGCCACGATACGATACGTTTTTCGATACAGCGCACTTTAGATTGAATACGATTCAATACGATATATTACAAATCGATTTGGTTCGGTGAAAAACAAAAACTAAATCATGGCTGTGATACAAAAATTCTATTGTCCACTAAGTTTGTGCAAAGTTAAAACGTCAGCACAACTGTAGCTCTCGGTTCAGACTGCGGTGTCAAAAAATGCCCTGGACGCCTCTGTTTGGGCGCCTTTGCGTTTGAGTTTTGACGACTCCGACGCGCATTTTGGACCCCGTAGATGAACAGCAGAAAAATACTTGACGCGTACAGGGCATCCGTTGCACTGGAAACTAGTGCCATTTCCCGGTCTTTTCCTGAAACGATGGCAGACCAGGCTGAGAACGTGGCTTTAGTGTATCTATTACATAAAACCATCAGCGGAGGTGATCGGCTTAGCGGTCATGGTCCAGTCCTGGTCTAGTCCCGGTTTAGTCAATACCAGAACGCTCAAGACACAACGCGTCGACACCAGATTGAGCCGTACTGACGCCTGAAAATGCGCCACAAAAACGCAGGACGCCCAAGACACGTGTCCACTAGGGGTGTGCAAAAATATCAGAATATCGATATATTGTATCGTTTAATGTGATGATACAGTATCGATATCGTGGGCTGCTGTATCGATATATCACCAAGAGTATTTTTAGGTGTGTTCTACTAAATTATTTTGTTACAGTGCTACAGTTTTGTTGCTTGTGGAGTGAAAGGAAACTCATTTATGCGACACATTTGACATTTTCACTGTTTTGATGATTAAAATGTTTGTGTTTCATATGAACTTGAGACAAGAAGTGGTTTAACAAAGACTTTTAGTATCACAGCCATGATTTAGCCTTTAATTTTTATTTAACCGTATCGAATCGATTTGAAATATTTCATATCGAATCGAAAGTGCACTGTATTGAGATATGTATCGTATCGGCAACTTCTTAATGATAGACTTTGCATATAAACTGGACGCCTTGACGCCACGGTCTGAACGGTCCTTTACGCTAAATAATTTAGTAAAATATACCTTAAAATACTCTTGGTGATATATCGATACAGCAGCCCACGATATCGATACTGTATCATCAAATTAAACATTACGATATATCGATATTTCAATATTTTTGCACAGTCCTAGTAGAGATGGTGCTGACTTAAACCAGATTATTTTAGATTTAGTTTCAGGCTTTGTGTTATTTATTTAGTGAGTTTATTTAAGGTGGATTTTAGTAACTGTAGAAACATGTTGCCTTAAGGTGGTATTTTTTATATGCCAGTGATACGGACATTAATCAGATCTTTTAAGGTGGTCATTTTCTTGATCTATTTATAAATTAAAGGTGGTATTTTGTGATCCCAGGGGGTGGAGGTGATAGTGAACGCCAGCAGCCTGGAGGACATCGAGCCGTCCGCGATTGGACAGAGGCTGACCAACGGGACGACATCGGTGGCCAGTCCAGTTCCTGAGCCGCCTTAAAACCAGAGAGGACGAGCACCCCGACGTGGTGAGTTAACGTTATTATGGAATGTTCCACAGTGTGACTTTAAACAGCTCTACTGTACTTTACTTTACACTTACAGGCGGTTTTAAAGCTCAAAAATACCTCAAAAAACAGGGATTCGGACTGTGAGTGGGGTCGCCTCTCCACAGATCTGACCCGTAACTTAGTCTGGTTTGGTGTCCGTGAACGTAGAAAGGTTTAATGCCATACTGTGGAACATTTCAGATAAAGCAATAACATCTTCCATGGAGAAAACTGTTTGAGAAAAGTTACACAGCGCAGCTTTAATTAAAACGTCTGTTTGATGCAGGGAACAGTTTATGAGAAAACCAACGCAGAGATGGAGATGAAGAAGATCAACAGAGAGGAATTCTGGGAAAAGGCAAAGGTACGTACTGTATCTTTAAGCACACATGTTAAAGTAAAACTGCACCAGGACTGAGGCTACGTTTATACGATGACAGTCTGAACAGAAGACACAAAAGTGGCGTCGCGTCTTCACTTTTTATTCCGCGTGTAGACGAACGTTTTCGGGAGGAAATCTGCGTGCATACGGTGACGCAAAAGTGTGTGGAATTCGTTTGGGTTTGTATTCCAGACGGCTCGGTGGTGGCGAGATCTGGTGATGTATGTCAGTGGTCCCCAACCTTTTTTGCACCACGGATGGTTTTATATCAAACAATATTTCGCGGACTGGAGGGAGTTGTAATAATAAGACAAATGTATGACTTTAAGTTCTTAAGAGTCAATTTTGAGGAATATAGGACTTTTTTTTTTTTTTACTGAAAAATCCTTCAACTCCAGGGACATGTAATATTTTTTTATGGTAACTTGTGATTTGATGTTTTTGTTTTCAGATGGAAGAGGAGCTGAGGAAGGAGGAGGAGCGCGTGAAGGCGGCCGAGGAGAGACGGAAATTTGAGGAAGAACGGATGGAACTGGAACGACTGGAGCAAGAGAACCGAGAGAAGAGATACAGAGAGAGAGAGAGAGAGATCGAGGAGCACAGGTAACGGAGAGAGAGATGGAGGGAGAGAGAGAGAGAGAGGGAGGGAGAGAGAGAGAGGGAGATCGAGGAGCACAGGTAACGAGAGAGAGATGGAGGGAGAGAGAGAGGGAGGGAGAGAGAGAGAGGGAGATCGAGGAGCACAGGTAACGGAGAGAGAGATGGAGGAGAGAGAGAGAGAGGAGAGGGAGAGAGAGAGAGGGAGATCGAGGAGCACAGGTAACGGAGAGAGAGATGGAGGGAAGAGAGAGAGGGAGGGAGAGAGAGAGAGGGAGATCGAGGAGCACAGGTAACGGAGAGAGAGAGAGGAGAGAGAGAGAGAGAGAGAGAGAGAGAGAGAGAGAGAGATCGAGGAGCACAGGTAACGGAGAGAGAGATGGAGGAGAGAGAGAGAGAGAGAGAGAGAGGGAGAGAGAGAGAGGGAGATCGAGGAGCACAGGTAACGGAGAGAGAGATGGAGAGAGAGAGAGGGAGGGAGAGAGAGGAGAGGGAGGAGAGAGAGAGAGAGGGAGGGAGAGAGAGAGAGGGAGGAGAGAGAGAGAGAGATCGAGGAGAACAGGTAACGGAGAGAGAGAGGGAGGAGAGAGAGAGGGAGGAGAGAGAGAGAGATCGAGGAGAACAGGTAATGGAGTGAGAGAGGGAGGAGAGAGAGAGGGAGAGAGAGGGAGGAGAGAGAGATCAAGATGCACAGGTAATGGAGAGAGAGAGAGAGAGAGAGGAAGGAGAGAGAGAGAGAGGGAGGAGAGAGAGAGGAGAGAGAGAGATCGAGGAGCACAGGTAAAGGAGAGAAAGAGAGAGACAGGGAGGAGAGAGAGAGATCAAGAAGCACAGGTAATGGAGAGAGAGAGAGGAAGGAGAGAGAGAGAGAGGGAGGAGAGAGAGGGAGGAGAGAGAGAGAGATCGAGGAGCACAGGTAATGGAGAGAAAGATGGAGAGGGAGGAGAGAGAGAGAGATCGAGGAGCACAGGTAAAGGAGAGAAAGATAGAGAGGGAGGAGAGAGAGAGAGATCGAGGAGCACAGGTAAAGGAGAGAAAGATAGAGAGGGAGGAGAGAGAGAGAGAGGGAGGAGAGAGAGAGAGATCGAGGAGCACAGGTAAAGGAGAGAAAGAGAGAGAGAGAGGGAGGAGAGAGAGAGATCAAGAAGCACAGGTAATGGAGAGATAGAGAGAGAGAGAGAGAGGAAGGAGAGAGAGAGAGGGAGGAGAGAGAGAGGAGAGAGAGATCGAGGAGCACAGGTAAAGGAGAGAAAGAGAGAGACAGGGAGGAGAGAGAGAGATCAAGAAGCACAGGTAATGGAGAGAGAGAGAGGAAGGAGAGAGAGAGATCGAGGAGCACAGGTAATGGAGAGAAAGATAGAGAGGGAGGAGAGAGAGGGAGGAGAGAGAGAGAGATCGAGGAGCACAGGTAAAGGAGAGAAAGAGAGAGAGAGGGCGGAGAGAGAGAGAGAGAGTGGAGCACAGGTAACAGAGCTAGAGAGGCAGAGAGGGAGGGGGAGAGAGAGAGAGTGGAGAGATAGAGGAGAGCGATTGAAGAACACAAGAGATAGAGAGAGATTGAGGAGCACAGATAAGAGAGAGAGAGGGAGGAGAGAGAGAGATCGAGGAGCACAGGTAACAGAGAGAAAGAGAGAGAGAGGGAGGAGAGAGAGAGATCGAGGAGCACAGATAACAGAGAGAAAGAGAGAGGGGAGGGAGGAGAGAGAGAGAGAGATACAGAGAGACAGAGAAAGAGAGAGAGAGAGAGAGAGGAGCACGGGCAATGGAGAGAAAAGAGAGAGAGAGAGAGAGGGAAGAGTACAGGTAACAGGAGAGAGAGAGGGAGAGAAAGATAGGTACCGGGAGAGAGCAAGGGAGGAGAGAGAGGGATAGATAAAGAGAGAGATTAGGACATATAACAGGAGAGAGAGAGAGAGAGAGAGAGAGAGAGAGAGAGAGAAGCACACATAACAGGAAAGAGGGAGGGAGAGGGAAGAAGAGAGAGGAGCTGTGAGAGGAAGAGAGAAAGAGAAGGAGAGGGGGACAGGTAATAGGAGAGAGAGAGAGAGAGCAAGAAAAACAGAAAGAAGGGAAAGGGAGGGGGAAGAACACTGGTAACGGGAGTGAGAGAAAAAGAAAAGGAGGAAAGAGAGAGAGAAAGAGGGAGAGAGAGGAACACATGTAACAGGAGAAAGAGAGGGAGGGAGAAAGAGTTGGGGGGAGTACAGGTAACGGAAGAGAGAGAGAGAGATGTGTTTTTGCAGATGTTCTTTGACTTGTCGTAGAATCTTCAAATAAAAGATTTATATTTGTGTTTAATGTTTTTGTCAAACAGGAAGAAACTACAGGAAGAGGAGGAGGCAAAAGAACGACAGATGAACCAGCCCTCTGTGGTAACACAATAAAACTTTACCATCATCTCTCCATCTGAGAAAACACTGATGAAATAAACCAGACTGTGCTGCCCCCTGCTGGATATTGAGCGTAAAAACTATTTTTAAAACGTTTGTATTTTTGCAGGCGTCAGATCCAAACATCGAAGACTTGAGTTTGGACAAAAAGGAATCAGAGGTTGAGGTGAGATCTTATAAAATATTTGTTTTGTTTTTTCATTTGAATAAAACATAACAAATAAATATGACAATAAAACATGTTAAACGTGCAGGGATATGACTTAAAATTAAAAGGTACTGAATTATGAATACTGCTCTCAAAATGTATTTAAGTGAGAGTACAAACTATGGAAAATGAAAAATACTCAAATAATAGTTTTGTATTTTTGAATAAGAATGCACTGATCCAGCATTTTCAGCTCCAATACTGATATTGATACTTAAACTTTGTGGTTATTGGCAGGATAAATACATTTTTAGGGGTAAAACTGCCATTCTCAGTCCCTACTCTGTTATTGGTTAATATCCGGTAAACTTTTAAACCAATACCAGTGTAGGGACTGAGAATGGTGCCACCTAGTGCCTCTGCTCAGTTTTATTTCTCTCCAGCGACTTGGTCAGGAATCAGAATACACTTGATCATTTGCAAGAACCTCAGAAGTTGTAGACTGTGCACTGGCCAATCAGAGAAGAGTTGTGAAGCCATGACGTCAAACTCAAGCTCCTGTCTGGGTCCCTTTTGTGGAACAACACAAAAGTAAACAAAGCGGTCGAGATGGATGTAGACGAAGACACACATATTCTGTGTTGGCAACAATTCCCGAGATTGAGGATTTAAAGCCGAAACGAAGAGAATGTTTGGTGAATTTTATCAAGGGGAAAGACATTATTGTCATTGTTTCTACAGGATTTGGAGCATTACATACGTCAAGACCAAATAGCAGTGATTGGTTAAATTTTAAAAAGTACCCCTCTACTGTCGAGTGAATGAATCCTAATGCTGTGAGGTCAGACTGTTTCTACAAAGTGAAACCAGCTGATGAATTAGGCTATTGAGAATGGCCATTTTACCCCCAAAAAATTATTTATCTTGCAAGTAAATACCGAACAGCTTTGTTCAGTATTTGTTCAATCATTATGAGACTTCCAAGGCCTACATCAGCTAGTCTTTTTACATAAATCCCAACCAGCATATCAGCTCAACCAATTTCTGTGCAAAGAGAGTACTGTCTAAAATGTGACTACACTGCTCTCAATTTTAATATAATTTGTGGAAAATAACCCAAATCAGCCTCACATATCGGCTCTGAAGAGTTTATTGTCCATTATTTTGTCTTGGTTAGAGGTGGGGAATTGCAAGTCCTGACTTGGACTCGAGTCAGACTTGAGTCACTATTTTTTAGGACTTGAGACTTGACTTGATAAAATAGACTAAGACTTGGGACTCAACTTGGACTTGAAGCTCAGTGATTTGGGACTTGAGGCCTGTTACTTGAGAAGACTTGAGAAGCACTTTTGAATCTGAATTAGTTTTATTCTGACTGTAATGAGTCACACTAAGATCTTGTCAAGGCATTTAAAAAGGAAAAAATAACTAAATTAATTTGTACAACTCTCATAAATACTCATATATGAATATACTATGCTTTTTTTAAGTACAATTTATCTTAAAATTCATATAAATTGCAAAAATCTAAACTATATTTGGTACTATTTGGTTTAAAGACTTGAAATGACTTGAAGCTCAAAGCAGACGACTTGGACTTGACTTGGACTTATGGGCCAGTGACTCGAGACTCGACTTGGACTTGCCTGTATTTGACTTGGGACTTGACTCAGACTTGAGGTCAAAGACTTGAGACTTGCTTGAGACTTGTAAAACAAAAACTTGGTCTCACCTCTGCTCTTGGTTCCAAACAATCGTCATCAACCATGAAAAAAAAAACACAATATTTGTCAATCTGTAATATATTTTAACACGGGTTTTCAGTATTTGGTAACTAAATACATTTAAAAGTATTCTTCTCTAAGTAGTATTCTTCTTCCACGCGCCTAATGACTGTAATCATTTGTTTTGTTTTGTTGTTGTAGGAAGCGAAGGCCATCATCGCTCAGCGCTCAGGAAACCCTCGAGAGTTTTTCAAACAGAAAGAACGCGCCATGACCATCTGCGTGGACACGTCTCCTGTATCTGTGCACCGGCCTGGTAACGCTCACGCTCACACTAACGCTGCCACTGTTACACGTTTTACTAAAGGTGCACCGTGTAACTTTCCTCGTCTCCGTAGAGATGTTATTACCTCACCTGGAAATGTCTGGAATGTTTCTCGAAGTATTTGTTAAAGCTCCAATATTACTCAAAAATGACTCATGTTATAATGTTGTTACCTCCTCAAAAACAGACCTGGAGTTGTTTTGTTTGAGTAACTCTTTATTATTAGTCTGTCTGATGCTCTGTTCCACGTTGTGATGTCATGAAGGTGTATATCAGGGGTGTCCAAACGTTTTTCATCAAGGGCCACATATCTAAACACAGACGAAGCAGAGGGCCGATCGAGGGGCATAGACTGGTGCTCAGTATACTGAATAACTGAAATATGTGCATGTTTAACACGTTAGAATGACCTTTAATTCATGCTTGAGATCCTTAAAACCACACTAAATATTACATATTAGCTTTATCAAGGTAGATTTTCAAAAAAAACTTGCAGTAAAAAGTAAATTTTTAATTGATGCAAGGTAATTTGGGCCAATTCACCTGGAACCCTCAGGGCCAAGAAAAATTTGTCTGAGGGCCGTATTTGGCCCACAGGCCATAGTTTGGACATGCCTGATGTATATAATAGCTTCTTTTTTATCTTTAGTTCAGTAGAGATTGGCAATTCCAAGGCTGAAATTATCCAAATGATTCTAGTGAAGATGTATGGAGTTTAAAATCACAATGGAGCACTTTCTGTATTACCACATGACATCACAAGGTGGAACAGAGCCGTTTTTTTTTGGTTGAGAAAAGAACTAAGGCTACATTCAGACTGCAGGGCTTAATGCTCAGTTCGTATTTTTTTGTGAAATCAGATTTTTTTGCGAGCTCGTTCATATTTCCAATTAAATGTGACTTGTTTGTGATCTCCAGTGTGAACTTTAAACACCCCAAAAGTGTCCTGTATGCACATTGGAGAACACGACGACATCACACATAGCGAGCGTGCTCAGTGTTTACGGAAGTCGCCTAAACGCTGGGCTTGTCTCCCAAAATACGGTCCAGTTCTTCATAAAATGTTCAGGTTACACGTCCACAGTCGCTTCGTTTATTTGAGTCTTTAGCCTCCTTGTATTTGGCTCGCAGGCTCTTTATTTTTCGTTGACATTGGAGACAGATCTGCCTGTAGCCGCGCTCGGACATTTCTTTGACAATCATTTCAAAAACCGCCCAGTTCCGATAAGACTCCTCCAATTTGATCCCCCCCAAACATTAATAAACTCTCTAACCTCGCTTTCCCTCCACTGACGAGACTCTGAGCCTGACGTGTAGGTTGGATGAATGCGACCTGACCGTTCAGACTGAAGTCGCATGTCAAAAGATCGGGTATGTCTCGGTTTTAGGAGCACATATCCAAGTGACCTGGGTCGCATTTGAAAAAAAATCGTATCTGTGTCGTTCAGACTGTTATTAAAAGATCAGATACAGGTCACATAGGGGCCAAAAAATCAGATTTGGGTCACTTCAGGCTGCAGTCTGAACGTAAATGAAACAAAACACAACTCCAGGTCTGTTTGTGACGAGGAAACATTATAACATAGATCAGAACATAACGTAATATTGGGCCCTTTAAATGTCATACTGTGGAACATTCCAGACAAAGCAGTAACATCTCCATGGAGACAAGCAGGTAGCGGACCCCATCGGCCACCGGAAAAGTTACATCTTGCGCCTTTACTACACTGCACACATGACAAAGTTCTCACACAGTCTGTCCCATCACTGAGTTATTTTTATTTCATTGTGTTTTCCATTTTTGCTTGTTTTATAGCTTTGGAATGGAATTTTCGAACATTGTAAAAACTCCCGTAAAATGAAAACTAAATTAAAGGCAATGCTAACTTTGATTGACAAGCACTGGTTGGACTTAAACCAGGACTAAACCAGGATTAAGTTTCCAAAAATGAGACTATGGACGGAGTGAAACAGGTCTGAAAAAGAACTACTGATCAGAACTAGACCAGGATTTGATTGAGACTAGATTAGGAACAAAACCAGAGCAAAAAATATATATGTTTAGCTTAGTTTAAGTAATAAAAAAATACTGAAATTAATTTTGAGCTATACTTCCTTTTCGTTTTCTATCAAATCGAAATAATCATCACTATTAAAGGCGCTGTACCTCATTTTTACCACCTCAATTAATTTTAAACAGTTTGCAGTGGTCCAAAGTTATTCCTTTTGCAGTCAAGGTAATGCCTATAACAACTAGCATGCTAACACACACTTCCTGGTCCGTTTTACTGGACAATAAACGCTTTATAATCAGATCCAGACGTTGCACAGTGGATTTCTTTTGACCTTGAGAGCTGCTTATACAATATACCGTGTTTTTCAGACTATTAGGTGAACTCAGAAATTGAAAGTGCACCTTATAGTCTGAAAAATACGGTATCTGTACTGTGAAAAAAATGAGATATAAATAGTTCAGATACGTGGGAAAAATGTGGTACAGCGTCTTTAAATAAACCCATGATTTTGTTGAAGGTGATTCCCTCGCATTTTGTCTCAGTATCACACTAACTGCATTATTTCTTTTCTTTTTTATTATATTCTTTACATTTTCTAATTTATCTGCTCCATTTTGCCCCTTGTCTCTGCTCCTGTCTCTGCTCCTGTCTTCTACATTTGTCTCTCCTCCTCTCTCCCCTGTCTCTTCTCTTTTTTCTCCCCATCTCTCCTTTCTGCCCATCTCTTCTTTTCCCTTTTCTCTGCTCCTGTTCTCTTCTCCTCTCTTTCTCACTGTCTCTCCTCTCTCTCCCCCTCTCCTCTATTCTCTCTGTTCCTGTCCTCTCCTCCTCCCTCTCTTCCCGTCTCTTCTTTTCTCTGTCTCTCCTTGTCTCTCATCTCTCCCCGTCTCATCTCTTCTCTCTTCTCCTGTCCTCTCTTCCTCTCTTTTTCTCCTCTCTCTTCTCCTGTCCTCTCTTCCTCTCTTTCTCCTCCTTTCTCCTCTTTTTCCTCATCTCTCCTCTCTCCTCGTCTCTTCTCTTATCTCTGCTCCTGTTCTCTCCTTCTCCCTTTTTCTCTTTCTCCCCATCTCTTCTCTTTTCTCTTCTCCTGTCCTCTCCTCCTCTCTTTTTCTCCTCTCTCCTCTCTCTGCTCCTTGTTCACTCTTCCTCTCTTTCTTGCTATCTCTTCTCTTCTCTCTGCCCCTTTTTCTTCTTTTCTCTGCTCCTGTCCTCTCCTCCTCTCTTTCTCCTCTCTCCTCGTCTCTTCTTTTCTCTCTGCTCCTCTCCTCTTTTCCTCTCTTTCTCACCGTCTCTTCTCTCTTTCCCTGTCTCTTCTTTTCTTCTCTCTCTGCTCCTGTCCTCTTCTCATCTTTCCTCTCTCCTTTGTCTCTTTTCTTCTCTCTGCTCCTGTCCTCTCCTCCTATCCTCCTCTCTCACCCTTTGTCTCTTCTCTTCTCTCTTTCCTCTTGCTCCTACCTCTGCTATTCTGCCCTCTGCTCCTGTCTGCTCCTGTCTGCTCCTGTCTGCTCCTGCCTCTGCTCCCGTCTGCTCCCGTCTGCTCCCGTCTGCTCCTGCCTCTGCTCCTGTCTGCTCCTGCCTCTGCTCCCGTCTGCTCCGCGTGGCTTCTGTCATTGGTCTGTTCCTTCTCTGTGTCCTTAAATGGGACTTTGGGGACTTTTTGGACATTTTTGGGGCTGGTGCTGAAGGCCGTGTGGACAGTCCGTTCTTGAAGCAGCAGCACAGCCCCAGTACCCCCCCTCCTCACGCACGGACGCACCACCTCTCTGGTACGTACCAAAACCTCAGACTAAATGTAGAAATAATACTCTTTATAATATTATAAACACACAAAAATAAACCAGGAAATGGGAAACTACAAACTCCACACAGGTTAAAACAGACCTGGAGTTGGGTTTTGTTTCATTCACACATGTTTGAGTAACACTTTTTTATTAGTCTGTCTACATTTCCAAAGCTCAAAATGCTCTGTTCCACCTTGTGATGTCATGAAGTGGTAGTTTTCAGGTTAACAGCTCCTTTTTTTACCTTTAATTCAGTAGAAATGGGTAAGTCCAGGGCTTAAATCATCCAAATGATTCTTGTGAAGGTGTATGACAGGGGTCTTCAACCTTTTTCCTCGAGTGAGCGACCTTTACAAATCAAAAAGAGCACTTTAGAGGTCATGAGAAATAAAGTATACTTAAGAGCCACAGCAAAACATAGATGGGGTACGGTTAGATAAAACAACATAAGTACTAAGTCAGGCAACAAAATGATAGATTTATAATGATAATAGCCAGTGTTGGGAATAACAGCGTTTAAGTATAACGGCGCAACATTTCTGGTAACGGAGTAATCTAATTAATTACAATCCCCATCGTTACAATGCTGTTATCGTTACTGGGAAAGCAAAGTGGCTCGTTACAGTTGAGTTGAATGAGGTGTCAGGCTTCAGGCAGTGGACAGACACACATCATCAGCAGGAGCAGGGAGAGCTCAGGACAGAGCAGGGCCAACATGAGTGGCTCAGAAGTTGACTGGACGGAGTCTCTGCTCACATTGCCTTGTTGTTTCGTTCCTTCACACTTCAGGCGAAATGAGACAAACTCAACAAGAATGCGACAATGGCAACGACAAGTCAGGGACATTCAAAGACAGCGTTTTCAAACTGTAAATATCAACACTATTTCTCCCTCATTGAAACAAAGGGCAAGAATGTGTATGTTACTTGTAACTGTGCCCTGGGGAAAAAAATTCTGCCTCAAGTCACTTGAATCTAATGAAGCACCTCACATCGTCACATGCTGACACACCTCTTGCTGCTGTTCACCTCGAGCCCCGGTGCAGTGAGCCTGAGCTCCACCCGAGATGGAGACGGAGCCACTGCAATAAAGCCAAATTCGATTTTCGGGCAATAGTACATAACATGAAAAATGACTGGATAATTATTTTAATGAGTAATTACTTTTATAACATGGTAACCTGAGTTACTAACTC